CTTCGGGAGTGGCCGCCGCGCGCCGTCGACGCCGCCGCCGCCGCCGCCGTCGTCATCGTCGCCGTCGACGTCACCGTCGCCATCGCCGACGCCATCGCCATCGCCGTCGCCGTCGCTGTCGCTGTCGCAACAGCACTCTGGCCGTCGTGGTCGTCGTGGTCGCCGCAGCCGCTGCCGTGGTCGTCGTGGTCGCCTCCTTCGTCGTGGTCGCCGTCATCGTCGTCGACGGGGTCGGGGAGCGAGGGCGACGACGAGGACGCGCGAGGCCGCCGGCTGGCAGGCCGGCGGGCCGCTTCGGGGCGGCGCGGGCGGTCGCAGGCGCGCGAAGTTCAAGGAATCACCCTCGAGGTTGACCCACCATCTGGAATATGTGACTGAAGGGGCCCCAGGACACACAAATAAATACACACAAATAAAAAGATTCCCCATATTTTCCCATATTTTCTGGGTTTCTGTCTTCCCGCCCACTTCCCATATTTTCGCATATTTTCTGGGGGATCGACGATGAATTGTGTCTGTGTGTTTCTTCCCCTCCTGAGTGACATTATGTTGCCATGTTCCGTGTGCGCTGTCGACCAAAATCTTTTGCAATAACTCCGCGATGCCGTCGTTTTGCTGGTTTCCCTGTCCGCCGTGTCGGCATTGTGCTGCCCGGGGGTCATGGATATCAGGTTCCCATGCCGTTGCCAGGTCGGGCCCAGCTGCGGTGCGATTGTGCGGCAACTCGCCCCGCCCATCTACACTTGCAATCCGTTCCTCTACGTGTTCGCACGCCGCAAAGTCTGAAGCGGCGTGGGTAGCCCTGCGATTGAAATTGTCGCTGGGCTCGATTCCAGACTCGTCGTCGACATCATCAAAATCGTGAAAGTGGTTGGGGAAGAAAGAGAGGAAGGGGGCAGGGAGGGGAGCAGGGGGGTGGAGGAGGAGGAGGAAAAGTAGGAGGGTGTGCCGGAGGCGGGGAGGAGACGAAGGCTTTTCGAAGTAGGAGGAGGAGGAGGAGGAGGAGGAGGAGGAGGAGGAGGAGGAAAAGGAGGAGCAGCAGCAGCAGGGGAAACGGGGGATAGAGGGGAGGAGGAAGAGCAAACGGAACCAGAGGAGCACGGCCCAAGGTCAAGCCACGACGGGGATCTCACTCAGAAGAAAACGAAGACGCCGTCGAGTGCAGAGAGTGCGTAAGATCCAACCCTGCTGATTTTGAGACCGCCGGAAAGCCCACAGCGCACGAAGCGGCCGCGGCGGGCGCAAGAGGCATTGCTGAGCTGGCATGAGGTGCAGGGCCGGAATGGAGCCAAGAGGTCAGGAGGCAGGGCCTGAAGAGAACCAGGGAACCGCAGAAGTGGCACGAAGGGCGACGAAGTGCTCCTGCCGCCGCGGGTTTTGGTACCGCGAACGCTGGCATCTGCCATGTCAGGTTAAGTCAAGTAAGCGTTTCACCAGACGGTGCGTGAGCAGGGTGAGACAGCACACGCAAAACAGTGCAACCAGAGCGCCTTCACCACCTGGTCCACGCTACGACCGCGCGCTCCCACACTCGTGCTGGCGGAAGTAGGCAGCGAGCCGTCCGCGGAAGCTTGCGCCCTTGAGACAATCAACCTACACTACATGGCTCCATGTCTGCATCGGTCTGCCCCACTTGCAGGGGCCAGGCACCTTCAGCAGCTCCAGGATGCCCCCCTCAAACACCGAGCGCCGCACAGGATCTAGACTGGGTCGGCACGCGAACTGCCCCGTGAAGGTTATCTGCCGTCTCGCGAGGCGGTCACTGAGCTTCAGCTGCTCAACCATGGCGAAGACAGTGGCAGTCGGGACTCTGCTGATGCATGCTAGAGGTACCCTACGAATCCTCCAAGCGCATCGTTTCTGGAAGCTGTCCAACCTTCGGCGATCCACTTGGTTTAGAGTAACAGCAAAAAGGGAGCACATTAATTCGCACCCTGGCCAAAGAAGCGTGAGACCAAATCGCGTGCACCGTCTTGCAGTCTTGCATTGCTACTCCACGTCTACGACCCAATTCAAGGGCGCATCTCCCGTCGGCAGACAGCGACGTGCCCAGGTAGACGAGAGGTTGCGTGTTGAGAAAGGGCGTGCCAGCGTTGTCCACGATGTCCTCCTCCGTCTGCGCAGTCATTCGCTCCAGTTTCTTCCACTCGAGCAAGAGGCCGTAGTTCGCCCAATTTTTGGCACGTATGTCTTCAGCTCTTGGAGCGCGGGCGCCCATCAACAAGGCGTCGTCCCGCTTAAACCAGATCCCAGACCAGCTACTCTGGAACCTGTCCACTTCGACGTTATTGCAGTTCCTTGTGGGCGTCATGAAGAAGCGTTGTCAACACGATGGTGAGCAAGAACGGCGACTGCGGGCTCCCTTGGCAGATGCCGTATTCTTGAACCCTGTCCTGAGACGTGACGCCGAAGTCGTCGACCACGAATCATCGGCCCTCCTTAATTTCAACGACTATCTTCACGAGACGGATTGGTCATCCAAGCCTTCGCAGGGAATTGGCAAGTGCCTCCGGAGACACGGAGTCGAAGCCTGTCGCCCTAACGCCAAGAACACAGCCTTGCCATCTCGAGCAGAACACGTTTCTTCGAGAGCCCGCTGGGCGATGAAGACCGCATCTGCTGTGCCGCAGTTACATCGGAATCCAAAGCGTGTGCTTCATATGCACTGCTCCACGCCAGCGTCCTCCAGGCGCTGCAGCAGCACGAACGCCAACATCTGGTATTCGACCAGCAAAGACTGATCGGGCGGTAATCGTTGCAGTCCGCAGGGTCGCCCTTCGTGTAGATCATTGTCACCCTAGACTTGTGCCAAGCATTGGGGACGCGCCCCGTCTCCCATACAACATTGCAGGAACGAGCGATCCACTCAAGCGTCGGGTTGCAGTCCTCGCAAGCTGCTCGCCAAAACTCCTGCGGCATGTTCTCCATCCCTCCGGCTCTGCACTGTTCTGAGTTTACGCGCTGCTTTGCTCACTTCTGCGTTTGCGACGGCACCAAGGACGATCGGTAGACCACTCTCGTCCAGAGCGTCCATCGGCAGTGCTATAGCAGGCTTATGTCGGGCATGTCCCCCTACAGGCCCACTGCACCCTCTCCGAGTGCGCTGCCAGAGAATCTGCCCTGCTGTCGCTGTCCACGAGCTGGCCGTTGCAATTCTTGAGTCTACCTTTCATTGCACCGGCCTTGCAGACGTGCTGCAGCGGATTTCTGCGTGGATTTCTGCGTGGATTTTTGCCCGAAGCGGCGAGCGAAAAACGAAGTGAATTTCGCGTGGATTCTTTTTGGTCTCCATCCCTGGCCAAAAAAAATCCGCACGAAATCCACCTCGAAGTCCGAAACGAAATTCTACAGGACACCCCGGGCCCACCCTGTCGTTTTCCGAACGAAATCCGCTCTGCGATGTTGGCGCCCTGATACCTTACGGCGGGCAGAATACTTTCCAGAGATGTCTGACCTCGCCCCAATCTCCTTTGGCTGTCAACTCCTGCAGCCAGGCGGCCCTGTCACTTACGACTGCTTTCCTGATCTTTTCCGCCAAAAGTTTCTCTTCTGTCCTGTCTCCCCTCCGCACGGCACGGCTCAACGCTGCGCCCACGACTCCCTCAAACATTTCATCTACCCCAAAAAGGTACTTTCCGAAGCGCAAAGGAATCCATATGCAAGCTGGCTCCACGCTGTGTTCACGTCGTCGTGTCTCGGCGTTGCACCGGCAAACTCCCCCAACGCGTCGGCAAGCTGATACGCAAAGCGATGCTAGATGCTGGCAGACTTCAGCTGTGATGCGTCTACCCTGCCAGCCTCGCTTCTGGGAAGAGCCTCATCCACTGCCGCACGGACTCGCGCCTCCAGCAAGAAATGGTGCGATGAAAGCGGCCTGTCCCGGCGGACGCTCACACCGACCACGCTATGAGATCAAGACTGGACTCACAGCATACAATGAACCTGGGAATGAATGTTTCAATGTATTGCTTCGCCTGCGAGGCGCCCCACATTGTAACTCGTAGCCAACTGTTCTTGTGAAGACGGGAGGGATGTGTTCGAAATGCGCATACCCAGTTGCGTGCATATCTCCACCAGGACGTGTTTGTTCGCGTCGACTTGGCAGGTTTGTCTGGGGGGCTGGAAAACATTTGGCCACGCGAGTTGCGCTTCGTCGTCATAGTTGCAAGATAGCTTGGCATTGAAGTCGCCAAGGACAAACTCTGGACCGCGGCGCAGACGCTGAACAGATCACCGCCTTCCCTCCCAAAACACGCAGCTTCAACGAAGCAATTCGGTCAGAGGCCTGGCAGAATCCGACAACAGACTGCCTGAAGCTGGGGCTCACGATAAAACCAGCTCTGGCCCTGTCCTCTCCCTCGGCAATGTCCGCGCCACTGGCGAGCACGACCAGGTACCCAGTGTCCGTCACGAACTTGTCTGACTTGGGTCTCCAAGTCTCCTAGATAGAAGACGATGATGTCGCAAACTTGCATGGTGACCTCTAGCCCAACCTGCTTGGCTTCCGTGTACCCTTCTATGTTCCATGATGATATGTTGAAGTCTTCATTTCGGACGGGTCGCAAACGACGAACCTTCGAGTTTTTCGGGCGTCTGCGTCGGGTCTTCGCGGTCTCCCGCCTTGGCATGCTCTCCAGCAACTGTGCCTCGCCGAAGGCGTTATGGGGTTGCCTGGGACCCCAGCTACGGCCCAAAAATAAGACCTCCTCGCGTCTTGAAAAAACATGAGCCCCGAGTTGAATATGGAATCTCTGAAAGCCAGCGGTCTTGAAGGTTGTCGGGTGCCACGGCCACGACAGGAGTGAACTCCAGGCAGGGGTAACCTTTGGTGCGCAGCTTGCCGATCGCTGCATGCGATGCGACGATACACGTCGGACGAAAGAAGCAGGTAAACAACAACAAAAAATTAAGCAGGAAGGCGGACAAAGCAGATTGGGCTCAGGCCCTCTCAGAGAATACCACAGCACAGCAACAGCAGATCGATCCTTGAAGCGGGAAGG